AACTGTCGGTCCAGGTGGAACCCCAGAAATGGAACTGTCGGTCCAGGCCGGGCCGCACAACTCATAAGAGCCACAAGTTGGACTCCGTCGTCTCGGCTTCCTTCTTATAAGTCAAATTTTCTTCAGTGAAACATTAAAAAAAATGTGCTTAATGAAGGAGGCATAACACTCGTTCTAAGAAAATATTTCTCAAGGAAAACAATCTTGTAAAAAATGCACCTTTCTTTACTTTTGGACAGTTTAGTTTAAAAGCACGCAGTTCTAGCCAAGCAACTTTTCTGACCCCACTGACAGATTTATTTCCTCACAACAAGAACGTTTGCTCACATTTAGGAACATTTGGCTTAGTTCAAGTAGGGGTGCACCGATTTAATCGGCCCCCGTTTCCTTCATTTTTGGAGATCGTCCGATACACAAGAAACCGATTTTACAGATTTTTATTTTTTTGTAGTTTGAACAACTGTCTGAACTTCATTTATATTCAGAGCCCTACTTCCTGGCCAGTTCAAACAAGTCTGTATTGTTTGTAGGATGTTGTTCAAAGGTATGTTGTCAATAAAATATAAAACTGAAGGTGCATTGTGACCTTATAGCACCTGTCGGTGAAAAGCAGAACCAGTGTCTGCAGGTCAGGCTTGCTGGAAACCAGTGATCGGACAGAAACCGAGTCGTGCACCTCTCATTTCAAGTAGTGCTGTTTTAGCAGCGTGAGCTCAGTTGGATTCTCAAAGATCTTAGTTGGTCTTTCAGAGATCACACTTGGTTTCTAATAGATCTCTGTGGATACGTGGTGATCTCTCTGGTTTCTCAGAAACCTCAGCTGGTCTGTTAGAGATCCCAGCTGTAAGTAATCTGACCTGGCCCTCAGAAATCTACTGGTATTTGTTCTGCATCTCAACTGGTGTCTCGGTAATCTCACGTATCTCAACTGGTTTGTCGTAGATATTAGCTGGTCTCACAAATTTCAGCTAGTCACTCGAAGATCTCAGCTGGTCTTTCAAATATCTCGGGTTGTCTCCGAGATCTTAGCAGGTCTCTTAGAGATGTCAGTTAGTCCGTCGGACGTCTCAGCTGGCCCTCCGAGATCGAAACTGGTCTTTTGGAGATCTCAGCTGGTCTGTTATGGGTCTCATCTGACCCTCGGACATTTTAGTTTGTTTCACAGAGAATACTCTTGACTCTCAAAGATCTCATCTTGCCCTCAAAGATCTCAGCTGGTCTTTCAGAAATCTAAATTTGTCTCCAAGTAATTCCAGCGAGACTTTAAAGATCTTAGTTGACCTCTCAGATATTTCAACTGGACCAGTTAATTTCTCAAAGATCTTAATTTGATCTCCACAGCAGCTATTTTTGTTGGGGTTTGGAGACTGCTGAAACATCTAAGCAGCTTTTGGTTAGTCGGTGGTTGCCAGATGGTGTCCATCCTGTGGAAAGACGACCGTTAAAGTCTTCATTTGTAAAGTTTGTAGCATTAACAAGCCTGATGGAGAAAGGGACGAATGAATTCCAGAAGTTGTTGCACACATTGTAGAGATGATGACGACACTGGGCCCGTTTTCTTCACCGCAGCTCCTCGTCACCACCTCCTCTGGACTGGCCTCTGCCTAACCAGTGGAACCAGACTGAGCTCAAAGTGGAGGTCCAGCCCAAGTCCTATCACAGGGCGCACTACGAGACGGAGGGCAGCAGAGGATCCATCAAGGCAGCAACTGGTGGACATCCTGTCGTCAGAGTAAAGTCCAGTTTTCTGTTTTTGAGAAGCACTTTAAACGTTCGTTAGCTCAGTCACTTGTTTTCTGTATTTCATGTTTGTTTTCCTGTCTGCAGCTGAGCGGGTGCAGCGAGCAGCCGCTCAGTCTGCTGCTGTTCATTGGCACTTCAGATGACCAGTACCCTCGTCCTCATTCCTTCTACCAAGTCCACAAAGTGACAGGAAAGACCGTTACCACCATCTGCCAGGAGAAGGTGATGGGCAGCACCAAAGTCCTGGATGTTCCTTTGCTTCCAGAAAACAACATGTCAGTCAGGTATCATCTTCTTCTTTAGCTCTCGCATCCAAAGACACCACGGTGAAGGTGCATGCACCTCAGTACTTTTTACTAGTACTAGATTCAGGAACAACTGAATACAAGAAAAACATACCAACTTCTCTAATCTCCACATTCAGAGTAGACCTCAAGAGTAGGAGACGGTTTTTAAATTCCGTTTGAATGATTAAATTTATTAAGTTTAATACGAGTTGTAATTATAACCGTCAGTTAAAGAACAAAAAGAAAAGACGTATCCGGTCTTTGCCCGGTTCTAAAACCATTTAAATCTTTACTCAAGTGAACAAAAAGAACGACAAATCTTTATTTTTAAACGGAAACTAAAAGTTAAAGTTGAGTAAGAAGCTGGTTCCAGCCCTGACCCGGCAGCTTGCAGAACCGTTGGCAGCATTCTCTCTCGGTAGTTTTCTGTTCGAACCCCAGCAGGTCCAGGAGACGTCATCTGCTCAACCGGCTGGATCAGTGAGGACAGGAGAGCGGCACAGACAGAACCCTACTTTCTATGGTCCGGGTTCTAGTAGGGCTTGAACGACCACATGTTTTTTAAAGTCGACTTCAACACGATAAACGTCGAGTCAACGTCGACTAGTCGATGCTAATAAGTCACGGGAAAACCAAAAACGGCGAAACATGGGGAGCGTCTATTTATGCTCCTACTATTTATCGTTCTGCTAATAAGTCACAGGAAAACCAAAACTATTACTAAGCTGCAAAAGTTAGTTTTATTTTATTTAATCCACTAAATAAAATAAAACGCTGCAGTGATGGATTCTCCACTGGTGGTGGTTCTCCCCCCCCCCCCCCTGTTTTTATTTTGATTGTATTTAGTGGATTAAATAAAATAAAACTAAAAACAGGTGGGCGGTGGTGGAATCCACCTGTTTGACAAGACTTGGCCTGCTCCTCGTCTTCCATCTGCTTAGAAGAATCCGTTTTCTTGTCTCTGGCCCGTTGATGATCACATGACACAATCACTGACTGCGACTGGTCGACATGAAACTCGGGACATGTCCTAGACTAGTCCACCAGTTGACTAGTCTATTCAACCCGTAGCTTCTATGGTCCAGGTGTAGTTCTGTAGCTGCTTGCGACCCCTCGGCTCGTCTTGTCGGTGATTTGCCACTGTGACTTGTTTCCCCGCTCTGTGGGCGGGCTCGTTAATGGGTCAGTGCTCGAGGCTCGCTGTGGTCCCTAATCGCCTCATCATCACACTTCAGTTTCTGTAGCTTATCCTGGCACTGCTCACAAGTCCAGATGTGGCCACGCTGCGCCATCATCTCCGATCTGTAGATGAGCTCGTTATTTGTGGAGCTGTCCGTCAACACGATCAGACAGGAAGTGGAGGTCCAGATGCAGTTTTCAGTTTTGCTGGGCGGGTCGTCCAGTGACGTAGCTCCGCTGGCCAGTCAGTGGCTTGAACAACGTGGTCTCATGAACCGGGCTGAGCGGGGGTGGGTACTGGCCATTAACTGGTGTGGTGCAGAACCGATGAGAGTTGAGACGGTGGCAAAGAGCCATATGGTCCAAGTGTGTGTTTTATGAAAAGAAAAACATGATAATAATAAAAATAACACACAAAAGCATGAGAGTAGAGCAAGTAAAGGCAGCAGCAGAATGAGGAAATGCGGTGAGTTTGTCCACCTGCAGTCTTAAGACTATAGCAGCATAAGTAAAGGATGACTAAGGAAACCCAGGTCATCCCCATCTGTAGGTTTCATCAAAAAGGAAAGTCTTCAGCCCAGTCTTAAAACTGGACAATGTGTCAGAGGAGCCTGAGAACTGAAAGATCTGCCTCCCGTTCTGCTGCTGGAAACTCTAGGAACCACAAGTAAACCTGCAGTCTGAGCGACGTGCTCTGTGAGGAAAATATGGAACAAGATCTGTAATATAAGATGGAGCTAGGTTGTTGAGCGCTTTATAGGTTAGAAGTAAGATTTTGAATTAAATTCTGGACTTGCCAGGGAGCCACTGGAGACCAGATGGTTCTAATCTTAGTGATATTACGCAGGTGGAAGAAAATGTTTTTACCCAGTTACACACGATGCAACATTAATTTTAGTGACCTCCGACGTGAATAACAATCTTACCGTATTTATTTAGCCGTAGCAGTTTCAGGTAGCGTTCGATGTCGCCCGCTCCGGCCCCTGGAATGCGTTTGACTGTGGTCTGACTGGTAAGTGCCACGTTTCAGACTATGGAGCTTCCAGTAACCAGCGGGGGTCTGACCGAGCCAGGAAAGTCGATTTGAAACGTGATCGGGTCGAGAACTGGGGGCTTAGCCTTAGCACTACGCTTGCACCAGACCGTCGGCCCGAGGCCCCGGCTGCTCCCGGTCTGTTGGAGGACCGCTAACGGGAGCTAACCTCGGTGGCTCCGCTGCCTACAGGGCTACTGGTTTTTCAACAGCGTCAAAATGTAATGCGACTAAACTGCACGATGATCAGTTAATCAATAATTAGTTACTAACACACATTGGTGCAAGCTTCATTCTCTTTCCTTGGTTGTAGCCAGTGGACTCACTTGAAGGTAATGGATGATAAATTGATGGAAAACACGTTCCTTTGCATTGATTTCATTAAAGCATCAACTGCGCCGGCATCCTGAAGCTGCGCAACGCCGACATCGAGCTGAAGAAAGGAGAGACGGACATCGGGCGTAAGAACACCAGAGTGCGCGTTGTGTTCAGAGCGGCCGTTCCTCAGCAGGACGGTCGGACGCTGTGGCTGCAGACCGCGTCTGTTCCCATCGAGTGCTGTGAGTAGTTCCACCTTCACCTTCTTCGTGTCACTCATGAAACAACGAGTGACCTGCGGTTGTTGTTGTTGTTGTTTTGCAGCCCAGCGGTCGGGCCTGGAGCTTCCACACGTGGAGAGCTTTTGCCCGACCAGCTGCTCCATGGAGGGTGAAGTGGAGCTGCTCATCTCTGGCTCCAACATGGCTGCTCACTCCAGAGTTGTTTTCGTGGAGAAGGGTTCCGGTATGATTCGTTTCTGTTCAGAAACCTGGAACAGAAAGGAAGAACGTTTGTGTTTGGGTCATTGTTTCTTTGTTCTAACAGTAATCCTACATTATTGTAAAGCATGTTTCTTTCCCCTAAATGGTGCACGTCTGGGGCGGCACGGTGGCTCAGTGGGTAGAGCTGTTGCCTCTCAGAAAGAAGGTTGCCGGTTTAAATCCTGGCTCGGGACCTTTCTGTGTGGAGTTTTCACGTTCTGTCCGTGCTGCGTGAGTTTCCTCCCACACTTGGAAACATTGACGTTAGTCTGCCTTCAGGTCCGGACCGCTCCTGCAAAGAGATCTGTGACCTCACGGGGTTCCCCTCGTTAAGTCAACGGTTGATAAACGGTTTAATTGTTGTTTTTGTCTCTGCCTTCATCTTTTTTATTGTTGTCCTGCGGCATTTAGGTTACGGCCTGTCCTTTTTAAATAACTTCACTTGACTTTTAACCTTCACATAAAATGTCACCAGGTTCACTTTACCCTTTTAAATCACTCAAATTTAACATGTTGTCCCAAAATGATGCATATTTATCATATTCTACTCTGGTTTATTTTATTTCTTTATTATCTGAATGTCCAAAAACATCTTGAGTTGATTTGAAATGCTGCTGTCAGAGTTCTGATGAGAATAATGTTAAAGATCTTATCGTTCCATATTTTACTAACAGAGCACTTCGCTGTCAGACTGCAGGTTTACTTGTGGTTCCTAGAGTTTCTAAAAGTAAAAAGGGAGGCGGAGCTTTCAGTTCTCAGACTCCTCTCTTGTTGAACCAGCTCTGACCGTGAGGCTGACACGTGGTCCAGTTTGAAGACTGGGATCAAGTCCATCACAGTTCACTCAGGTCCTCTGGACCGTTTCTTTGTGTTCAAACGTTTCTTCTTTCATCCAAAGGACTTCATCAGTGCGAGGAGCCACAACAACCTCAGCCCCATAAGCAGCACACTCCCACAGTGGGCCAACCAGTTTGATGTTTTGAACCACTTTGGTCACGGCTGCCTCAGGTGAGTCGACTCCAGAAACCATCTTATCACCATCAAACTGGTTGGCCCACTATATGAGTGTGCCGCTTCGGGAACGGAGTTTGTTGCACCTCCTCTGACTGATGAAGTCCTTTGGATGAAGGACGAAACGTTTCAACACAAAGAAACCATCCAGAGGACCTGACTTTTAACTGGACTGTTGAGCATGAACTTTGATGATTAGGCTCAAGTCTTTCCTTTTTGATAAATCCTATAGTTAGGCTTGGGTTTCCTGAGCTGTCCCTTAGTTCTGCTGCTATAGGCTTAGACTGCTGGAGGACAAACTGACCACATTTCCTCACTCTGCTGCCGTCTTTACTTGCTCCACTCTCGTTTGCATTAGTCATTGTTGTTGTTGTCATCAACATGTTTGTTGTTCTGCCTTTAGAAAATTCACCGGGTCCAGTTCTTCTGGATTCTCTCTTTTTACCGTCCTCTCATACCCAACCGGTCGAGACAGGTGTCCACTCGTCCCTAGTCTAGTGCTGGTTCTGCTGGAGGTTTCTTCCTGTTGAAAGGGAGTCATTCCTTTCCACTGTCTCCAATGTGCTGCTCAGGATGGGACACGGTGATGAACTGAAGGTTGACTGGGATCTGCCGGCTCCTTTAGATAAACTTTACCAAGTGGCGTTTTTGTGAATGATTTTGTACATTGACCTGCGATGGTTGTCAACTGGCTCTATACAAATAAACTGAAAGAAATAATCAGCCAAACTCAAATGTTCTTACATTTTGCTCTAATTTTTTTTTTTTAATTGACGTCCGAGGTTTGATCCAGTGATGTTTACGAGTGTTCTGTCCCCTCAGATGGAAGATCGCTGTGGGAAACGGACGCCAGAGTTCTGTCAGAAAAAAGCAATGATGTAAGAAACATGACCAGTGCTTCATTTGTGATGTAAGAAACATGACCAGTGCTTCATTTGTGATGTAAGAAACATGACCAGTGCTTCATTTGTGAACCAATCGGTGCTGGAGGTCAGGTCCCGGGGCTCCTCCCCCAGAAAATGTTGAAAAAAGTAGATGCGATTTCCTGCATTTTGGCGTATTTTAACGGGTTATTAAACAGATACATTTACCTACATTTGTAAACACTCCGCTTCAGTCAAGCCCCCCCCACTTGACGGTTCTGAGCCGACTCCGTCTGTTCGTGGCTCCTGCCCGTGTACGACTGCCTGGTTAGCTCGGCTCTCACCCCCACCGCTGTTTTAGGGGCGGAGGTAGAGGCAGATCGTACGTGCTATTAAGAAGCTCGTAAGTGGCTGTTGTGTTTAAAATGAGTGTTTATGTAATTATTTTCAGTTTACATTTCCAGTATAAGTTTTATTAATTCAAGGCAGTCAAATTCGTTCATAACTTTATTATTAGTAAGCCCGAGAGTTACCGGATCCAAGCAAACGGTTACCGGAACGTACCCTGTCAAAATAAGAGTTCCCGGTTCCTGTTCTGGCAAGATCCGGCTCAAATTAAGTCCTGGACAAGACCAAAAACTAAATAAATGCATTAAGTTTGTTAGCAGGAACAATTAATTCTAAAACCTGCAAAATATACATAACAGAGAATTTGAAATTGTGGCACATATACAAAGTATATCAATGTATTATAATGTATTATAATGTATATCAATGTATTATAATGTATTATAATGTATTATAATGTATAATACAATATTGAAAAACTACCTGTCACATACCACTGAGGAAAAAAGAATTGGGACATAATCAAGGATTTAGAATAGAAACAGAATAGAAACAGAATAGAAACAGCCTTTATTGTCCCACAGATGGGAAATTCAAGTGTAACAGCAGCAACAGATGAAAAGATTCACACAAAAGTTCCTAAATGTAAAATATATATAGATAAATAAGATAAACAATAACAATAATAATGTTCAATATGTGTTGAACATTGAGAATGGCAGACTATTTACAATACAGTAGTATAGGCAGAGTGGGTGATTATTAATAATAATAATAATAATAAACATGGCTCTAAAATGATTAAAATCCAACCTCAGGTGAACAAAAACACTCCAAGAATTCCAACAGTTCATTAGGATCAATGACGTCACACAACGGTTCCTGACGTTTCTCCAACCATCAGAATGGAGAGGTAATGGGAACCAGGGAATGGTCCTGGGGTTAATGGTTGATCTCAGCGTCGTCGTTTTGTAACAGACGAACCAAAATGTGAGTGACGGCTGTGGCGTGAATATCGAAGCTTTCTGAAATCTCACACTCGTTCCTGTATCTTCACGTTTGTTCAGTCCAGGGTCGCAGTGGTGGTCCCCCCTTACACAAAGAAAGCAGCGTCCCCCGTCCACGTCCAGTTCTACGTCTCCAATGGGAAGAGAAGAAGAAGCCCAGCGCAGAGCTTCACCTTCCTGCCTGGACCTCACTACGCTGCAGGAGTCGAGCAGGAGCACTGGGGGGCAGACCACCTCCTTTACCAGCCCCTCTCCCAGGACGGGACGCTCGGGGCTTCCTATGATCCCTGTGCTCGTCTTCCTCACCCTGCTTCCTCCTCCCTTCCACTGCAGGCCCATGCTCAGGACTCCGGTTCCCCCGTTCAGATCCTCAGTGCTCCTTGTTCCATGTCCTTTGGTGGACAGCTCAGGGAGCCATCTTTAGGTTCCAGTACTCCCTTCACAGCTCCGGCTTCAGCCCCAGGAGAGCTGCTGAGGATCAAACAGGAGCCAGAGGAGCAGCCTCACCTGGGATCCCTGGGCCTTCAAGAGATCACGCTGGATGATGGTAGGAAGCTGCAGTTCTTCTAAAACCATCAAATTATTTTCATCTTTCATGCAGGATCTTGAAATGGAACAAAATGTCGGTCCAGTTTTGGACCAGAAGTTTCAGGTGTTTGGTTTTTGGCTGAAAATGCATCCGCTCATTTTCTTTACGCACGTTTTCCTTTCCGGGTCGCGGGGGAACTGGTTATCTTCAGCGGTTCTGGACTGGTCTCCAGTCCATCAGAGACCAGCCAGACTAACTCTCACTCACGCTCATAGGGACCGTTGAGGGATGAATAAACCGAACGTGCGTACTTCTGGTTTATGTGTAACTTCACACAACCACCGAGGCACCAGAGGGGCCGAGGTTAGGGGCCTTGCTCAAGGGCCCAGAGTGGAGATGACGAGGGTGGAGGCTGAGGTGCTTCACCTTTTCCGCCCACATTTTGATGCACCGGTCAGGAATCATTCGAATTGGCAACCTCCCAGGCTTCTCCAACCGCTGCGCCACCACGCACCGTCACTCGTCTTTGCACATGCGCCAAGTAGGTTTTCCCGCCACACGGGAGCATCGCTGACTTCCACTTCATGAAATGCCTCGTTCTCTTGCACCTAGACGTGATGTTCAAATGTACGAGGAGAATCGCACACGTAGGGCACGCTTGCATCATGTGCCTCAGTTCCACGTGCGTCAGGATGCTGCGCTGGAACCCTTTGGTGAACCTGAATGTTTTGAGCGTGCACACGTTTTGTCTTCATGCAGCTGTCGGTGCGAAAGCTGCTCACGCTTCACACACGAGGTCCAGGTGAGCTGCACTTTGGTCCCATGAGCATTTGGTTGTTGTCTTGAGATGACTTCAGTTTGGAATGAAACTGTGTAAATAAACCGAGTTAAAAGAGTTGTTAAATTTAGAGCACAAGTTTCACTAACGTAACATTTAGCACCTGTACGATGGTTTCCTTAATCGTGACACTTCTGTAGAAAATAAAATTATTTTAGATTAACTTCAATTCGGTTACGTGCACTGCTTCTCCAGTCTTCACAGTAATTCCCTTCTGTGCTTGTACAATATAATAATAATAATTATAAACTTATATCTTAACTGGAGTTACTGGGAGAGATCATATCTCTCCAGTTTTAGCTTCTCTCCATTGGCTCCCTGTCAAATCCAGAACTGAATTCAAAATCTTACCTCTAACCTACAAAGCCCTCAACAACCTAGCTCCATCTTATATTACAGATCTTATTGTTCCATATTTTCCTAACAGAGCACTTCACTCTCAGACTGCAGGTTTACTTGTGGTTCCTAGAGTTTCTAAAAGCAGAATGGGAGGAAGATCTTTCAGTTCTCAGGCTCCTCTCTTGTGGAACCAACTTCCAGTTTCTGTCCGTGAGGCTGACACATTGTCCAGTTTGAAGACTTTCCTTTTTGATGAATCCTATAGTTAGGGTCAGCTTGTTTTGCTGCTATAGACTTAGACTACTAGAGGACAAATTGACCTTATGTCCTTAAAATGATTTGTTAAAACTGAATAGTTTTCATTTGATACTATTTCTATCTTAACATGTGATTCTTGACCTGCCATTGTGTATCTATTCCTACCAAACCCAGCTGGTCGAAGCAGATGGTCCTCTTGTCCTGATCCTGGTTCTGCTAAAGGTTTCTTCCTCATGAGGGAGTTTTTCTTTCCACTGTCGCCTTCATGCTTGTTCAAGATCAGAGTTCAGTGATGGAGTTAAACTCAAAGCTGCTCCTCAGATAAATAATGTTCAATTATTATTTTATAGATGAATGTTTCTGTTCAGTCCCTGAGACGACTCCTGTTGTGACTCGGAGCTTTAGGAACAAACTGAACTGAATAAAGTTAAATGTAATAATAGACGATAGAAGAATCCTAACCCAGTCACACCTGGATAAATCCTGAACCTTTTACACGAACCCTCTTCACTTTTATTTGAAGCCCACTGAAAACGTTGTAGATTGTAATTTTTAAAACGTTTGAAACTCGCAGAACTTTGGAGGACACAAGAACTTGCTGCCCCCTCATGGTTGTACACAGAACTACAATAAAATATATATTGGGACAGCTGTTGGTATTGCTCAGTAACTGGAACAGAGTGGTGGCGTCACCGAGTTCATGGCGTGGACCAGCAGCTCTGTCCGTCAAACACAACTTGAAATAAGTGAAGTACCGACTTCCGTTTGTGTCTGGATGCTTTAGACATTAGAAAGGTTCATTTTAAAAATTGGGTTGCCATGTCAAAATCCAAGATGGCTGCCATCATAAATGTATATTTGTAAACCTGTAAGCTGGATAACTTTAAAAACAAGTTATGTACTGACTCCATATCGCTGTGTGGCTGCATCTACTGTGTGTGTGTATCTGAGCTGCGTGAAGGATGATCTGAAATGATTTGGTCTTTTTGTCCGTGTCTTGTCGCAGTGAACGAGATCATCGACAGAGACATCGGAGGTCTGAGCAGCTCAGCAGGACCGGACCAGTTCCACCAGTACAACTGGGACCACGAGTCCAGCGCCCAGTCCTTCTGCAGAGACTTTGAGTAGTTTCCAAACTGACCTTTAAGTGCCTGAAAACCTTGAACATGCCACGGCTCATCACTGCAGGGTGCCACGTTGTCTCAGGGTTCTCCCACCAGAACCAGTCTGGACCTCACAGACTAACCAGAACTCTTCACTTCTCATATTAGAAACATCCAACTCTACTTGGACTTTAAAAAAAAAACAATCAGTTGAAGTTGCACAGAAATAACGTTTGATCGTTTTGATTGAAAATAATTTGTTTTGGATGCATCAAGTCGTTCTGGTCCAGTGAGGTGACGCCTGCATGTTTTAGGTTGCATCAAAATCCTGAACGCGTGTGAAATGTAAATATTGGACAAATTATTTGGTGTTTGTGTTCAGAA